CTGCGCGCCTTGACCTTGATGATGAAGGATATTGTCTTACTCGATGAGGTGCAATGCAGAGCAACGAAGACTGTCAGCGGTCTGAAGCATTTGTCTTACCAGGAGAGACTGAATGTGGTTGGCTTATCCCCTCTCTCCTATTGGCAACTAAACTGCAGACTACTCTGGATATTCTGGATGGTCCGTGGTCCAGGTTACTCATTAAGAACGGGAAACGTTTTTGAGTTTTCCCGTACAAGTCAACCACGCGGTCATCTTTACAAAGTCAAGAGCAAACGCACAAGGATAGACCGTAGGAAGTTTTCATTCAGCCTGGGGACTGTCCGACCATGGAAACTGCTAACAAGTGAGATCGTAACGGCCGCCACCAATCGCATGTTTTAAAAAACGGACCCGCCTGCTTTTTGACAAAAACCGTGGTTTTACGTCACGACTACTCACAGCCCGCTCAGTAAAACACTTTGTCATACACAATCTTTCCACGTCGGCTTACAGTGAACAGACGAGCTTCCTTATCATTCCGATTGTACTGTGATCCGACCACATTTTGAACGTTGGCAACTTTATTTTAATTGCGAATCTGCAAAAGCATCGTGCATAAATAGGGCCATCAAGGGCTCTTCTAATAACCCGTAAGGAACAACGCAACGAGTGAGTTCTGCAAGAACGATCGATGGGCGCCCCCTACCATTGTATATTCTCGATCGAAACCGAAAGGGCAACGGGCTCGTGGTCCAGTGGCTAGAGGCCTGGACTTCTAACAAACAGGTCGCGAGTTCGAGCCTCGGGTGTTCCACACTTCGGGATTGGGTATGAATGGCTGACGACGGCCAATAAGCCAGAAATGGCCATCCCATTCTCCCTTGCATTTGTTGGTGATAACATACTGTCAATATACATAAATATGGCTGATTGAAGCGAAAATGCGCGTTCCCGCATATAACTGAGAAGATAAGGCAATCACAATAACAGTGGATTTATTTGCCTGACGTTTTGAAAGCAGACATGTTTCCATTTTCGGAGGTGGGTTGCGTACTGCACGTCACAGTATTTAAGGGTTTTCCTTCGTGCTGGCGTGTCACTGACTTCCAGCGCGCTGCATCACAAGGTTTGACAATTGTTTTCATGGCGGCATTGGTTCCTCCTCATCCTTTGTCGATTGTGGGAGGGGGGGGAAGCGGCGTCGGGGTGACCGCGGCCATTGCTCTTGTTTGCATTGTCCGTTGTACGTCCTTCACATATAGAATAGAATAGGTTTATTATAGGGTCCATTGGGCACTGTCACTCTCCCGTGAACACAGGAAAAAAAACATAAAACAAACTCATCCATTTCGACTGCACTTTGACTGCATTTGTCTTGCGTGTTTCTTTAGCCAACAGGGAGCGAAATGAGAGTTTGTTTTAAGTTAGAAAAAAATATGAGTTCCAAGGAAAAATAATCACAAAAGTTTTAAGAAAGAATGATATGTACAACATAAAAATTGAAGTGTGCATTTTGGTAGTTTCTGGGTGGGTATGAATAATATGTCCTTCATGGAAATTGCAGAACTTTGAGATCGACCAGACCTTGAAAGTATTTTCCAGTTGGGTAAAGTTTGGTGTGTTCTAGTTGGTGGTTGTCAGTCTACCTGGCCAGCTGTAAAGGGGTGGTCGCACATTTCCTTCGTGTTTTTCTGGAGGCTTGCCATAATTGTCTGGACTAAGAGCTGGACAAGATGAATATATATCAGGAGTGAGAAACATTCAATGGTAAGTCACAATAAAGGCTGTCAAAATAATACTGAATCAGGTATCATATGGATTCTTGTGAATATGACACTATAAGAGTAGTGGTCGACTGTTAACTCTGATCTAATATAGTTGTTTACATGTTTAACATGACTTTAATATAGACTTACGTACAAATGATATGTGGGGTTTTGTCTAAAGGGACGTTATTATTAGCTCCTAAAGGGATATTTAGTGTCAGGTTACATAGCCGATAGAAGCGATAAAGGGTGGAAAGAAAGAATATCACTATTTGTTCTATGTTTATCAAAGATGCTATCTTTCATAAATTTGATTGTTTTTAGTGCTACGTTCCGGTTTTATACAAGCGGCTGGTATCAGCAGAACCGTTTCGGACCAAATTCTATATCACAGAATTGACTTGAAAATGTCCAATTTTATTCAAAAATAGATGTGTATGGTTATTTGAAAAGAATTCCTTAGTTTTTATTTTAAACTCGATTAGGGTTCGACTTTTCCGGATAGAACTTGGAAGAGCATTCCAGATGGTGGCATATCTTATGGTGTAGAAATTCGACCGTGGGGACTTTGTGAATTTGGGTATCCTTATAATATCTTCGTTATTTCTGGTGTTTCTGGGGGCGTTTTGGTTTGTTAATAAATTCATTTTGAGGATATCTTGGTCACGGATGACCTTGACTAGGAAGTTAAGACCATTTTGGAGTCTTCTGATCCAGAGTGGTCGAAGAACGTATTTATGATATAGTTCTAAGTATGAACCTTGGGTTTAATCACTTCTGGACAAATATCTAGTAAAACGTCTCTGAATGCCTTCTAGTTTCTTTCGGCCTTCTGAGGGCATTATACCGAAGAAAATTGAGCAATAATCTAGGATAGGTAAAACATACATTTTAAAAAGTTGTATTCTTAGTGCACTTAAGGTGAAAATTCTACATATGTGTAGTGTAAACGGCAATTAAACTACAAACAGTAATAAACATCTAACTCTAAGTGGGGGGTGCTGCGTTTCTTACAAGAAAATTAACGATAGCAAAATGAGTAGAAGAAAAACGACAAAAGGTAAATAAGTGTACAGACTCACGATAAATAAAGCCTTCTCCACAAGCGTTGGCCGTAGAGAGAATGTGCTGGGTAAAATCCGAGACGAAGTCAGTGAATGAGGCTTGTCGCTCAGATGAAATTACGTCCAGTTAAATATGGCCAAAAGATATAAGAGTTTCCTGTCAATTGACTAAAAACGATTGACGCTAGTGAGTGCAATCGACGAAACAATGACACCAAGCAGCAGACGGACACAAAAGTCACGCTTTTTCACAAGTCGAAACCAAGTGTGTGTATTTTAGTTAATTTAAACAAAAGTACAGAAATGTTGAGGTGTACAAGAAAGTTTAGAGTGAAAAATCAAAAATGTGAGTAAACCTACACAACTCCCCCACCAGAGCGTTTGTTGTACAAAAAAATGCTCCATAAAAATATGCAAAAAGTTACACTAAAAAGTCTTTGAGTTTGGCTGGAAACTGGATATGTCTACCAGAACTAGATGAGGTGCGTGATGGAGTAGAATGAGAATCCGGATGGGTGGGTGGGGTGTTCGAGTTTGGTGGTTGAGTCGAGGTGACCGAAACGGGTGGATCGAGTGAGGACGGTGCAGAGGAAGTCGATGGCACGACGGACGGCGGGATGCACTCAACATAGGCTGGCTTAAGTCTTTCGATGGAGACTGTGTCAGTTTTGTCAGCCTTCTGAATGACGTAATACTTGTCCATCCGCTGAAGAACCTTATACGGGCCATCGTATGGGGAACAAAGAGACTTGCGAACCGCGTTATGCCGGACGAAAACGAATGGAGCAGATTTAATGTCCTTATGCACAAACACACGTTTCCATGTCAGAGGAGTGGGGGTTGGACGCAGTTGAGCCATGCGTTGTTTCAACTGCTATACGAAGGTGCTCGGGATGTTGGTGTTCGTCGTGGAAGACTGCACAAATTCGCTGGGAAGACGGAGGGGTGTACCGTACACAAGTTCAGCGGCAGTGCATTGGATGTCCTCCCTGACAGAAGATCGGATGCCCAAAAGCGCAAGAGGGAGATTGTCATTCCAAGAAGCTGATTCTGTTTGGGACATCAGTGCGGACTTCAGTTGACGGTGTAGACGCTGCACGAGGCCGTTGGAGGCAGGGTGATATGCCGTGGTTGTGACGTGCGCACACCTGAGCAGTTTAGTGAACTGACGGAAGAGGCTAGATTGGATTTTACTCCCGAGGTCAGTAGTAAGGGTGGCTGGAACATCAAAAGTTGAAATCCAGTGCGTCAGAAAAACCATGGCGATATTTTCTGCCGAGGTATCCGAGATGGGAACGGCAATAGGCCATCGTGTGAAACGGTCAACCGCTGTCAGAATATGCGTGTACCCGCGTGAAGGGGGTAGAGGACCAACTAAATCCAAGTGACGTGGTGGAAACGAACATCTGGAACGGCAAATGTACTTGGTGGAGAAAATGTGTGACGATGTACTTTATTCTTCTGGCAGGCTAAACACTGCTTATTCCAAAGAGCTATGTCAGAGTTCATCTTCAGCCAGATAAAACGAGCAGCGATTAGCTTGCGAGAAGCGTGGATACCAGGATGTGACAGGGAATGGAAATGGTCAAACACTGTATCGCGGTAGGATAGTGGAACAACAGGTCGAGGAGTGCCTGTTGACCAGTCGCATGAAATCGTGCCTGGTGATGCAGGAAGTGATGCATCTCGAAGTTGCAGAGTAGTAGTAGAACGCAGGTCGTCAATGGAGTTGTCGCCTGATTGAAGGTCTGCAAGCTTCGCCAGGTCGAAATCGGATGTGAGTGTGTTGATGTCCGGACGGGATAATGCATCAGCAACGACATTGTCGCTGCCTCAGACGTAACGGATATCTGCAGTAAACTGCGATATATAGTCCAGATGACGAACTTCCCTGGGCGAGTACCTATCTGGCTTGGCTTTGAGGGCGTAAGTGAGAGGTTTGTGGTCGGTGTGAACCGAAAAATCTCTGCCCTCTAAGAGGTGTCGAAAATGACGAATAGCCAAGTAGATGGCGAGGAGTTCGCGAGAGAAAGTACTGTAGGGAGTCTGCGCCGGTTATAGCTTCTGTGAAAAGAAAGCCAATGGCTGCAACTGGTTATTCACCAGTTGATGTAGGACTGTGCCGACAGCACTATTGGAAGCGTCAATGGTCAAGATCAGCTGTGCGTGGGGATTGGAGCTGAGATGGTGAAGCAAAGTGGCATCAGCAAGAGCTTTCCTATTTGCCTCAAAGGCTGAGTGAGCTGCTGGAGGAAGTTCGATGGGCTTTGCTTTAGACTTTAGAAGGTCAGTTAAGGGATCTAGGGTCGCCGCACAGTGAGGGATAAAACGTCTGTAATAGTCGAGAAGACCTATAAAACGCCGCAGCTGAGTTAGGGTCTTGGGGACAGGGAATGACAGGATGCTCTGCACCTTCTCTAGCAGCGGTGTGATTCCATGCTGGTCGACGTGGTGATAAAGGAAATCTAGAGAAGAGACGCTAAAAATACATTTGTTGACGTTTAATTGCAGACCATGTTGTTGGAAACGGTCTAATATCTGGCGCAAATGCGAGGCATGTTCCTCTGCCGAAGAACTTGCGACGAGTATGTCGTCAATGTAGACACAAGTGAATGAGAGACCCCGCAAGATGTCATCGACAAAGCGTTGGAAGGATTGGGCCGCGTTGCGCAAACCAAACGGCACGCGAAGGAATTCGAACAAACCGAAAGGCGTTGTGACGGCGGTCTTGGGGATGTCTTCTTCCTCGACCGGAATGTGGTGGTATGCTCTCACGAGGTCTATTTTGGAAAAAATGGTTTTTTCAGCCAGCATGTGAGAAAAATCATGCATATGGGGAATAGGGTATCGGTCAGAAACAGTGGCTCTGTTGAGAGCGCGATAGTCGCCGCATGGTCTCCAATCATCAGTCGATTTCTTGGGTAACATGTGGAGTGGAGAAGCCCATGGGCTGGAGGAAGGACGAATAATTCCTAGATTCATCATATGCTCAAATTCGTTTCTTGCTATCCGAAGTTTTTTGGGATGAAGACGGCGAGGATGAACGTGAACAGGTTGGCCCGTGGTGATGATGTGATGTTTAACCGTATGTTGAACTTTCGCAGTGAACTGCCAGGGCTTAATGAGGGACGGGTAGTCCTTCAAAATGCCAGCGAAGGATGAGCTGGGTCCGGTCGATTGGATGCTAACCGAAAGTTCAGAAGCAGCAATTCCTATGGTAAAGAGTCTAGTTGTGGTATCGATAAGTTTGCGATGCTTGAGGTCGACTGCAAGGCCAAAGTGTGTCAAGAAATCTGCTCCAATGATGAGGGATTTGACGTCGGCCTGCACAAAGACCCACTGGAAACATCGCCGAAGACCGATGTCAAGTGTGAGCGCCCGTTGACCATAAGTGTTGATGGTGGTGCTATTGGCAGCCTGCAATGAAATCTGCGAAGGCTTGAGATGGTAGCGCCTTGTAGGCGGGATCACACAAATTTCGGCACCAGTATCGACAAGAAAACGGAGGCCGCTCGTCTTGTCACTGATATAGAAGAGGCGACTGGGTCGTTACTGGCCAGCGGCAGCTGTCGCCGTAACTGGCTGGCGCGGTCGGTTCCCTGTGGTGAGGCCTGCAGGTATGTGCAGGGAGGAATGCACTTGCGTGCTTTAGAAACGTAAACCCGGTGATACCAGCACAGAGTTGTAGAGGGGCCTCCCGAGATTTAGAACGACGGCGCGAGGGTGACCGGTTTCTGGTCGACTGTACGCTATTTATAGCAGTGCACATGGTGCTCACTTGTGTGCACAAAAGACGTACAGTTTCTTTGAGGTCGTCATAATCGCCGCGGTAAGGACTGTTAGATGGTCTTGATTGACCTGATGGCATGGTGGCTCTGCGTGATGAGCAACGACAGGCCGACCGGTTCACACAAGTGTCACGTTCCAGTGAAGGAGTGCCTTCTGGACAAGAGATGGCTACTCTATCCGATCTGTCGGGCACCGAGGTCGGTAGAATATTGGTGCATGTCGCACCGACCGGGTAACATTCGCTGATCCTGTCGGCATGATTGGCCAATTTGTCTAGAGAGACGCTAGTGTCCAGCATAGACAAAACTTGTTGCATGGGAACCGGCAACTTGTCCAACCAGTTTTGTCGAAAGATATCGTCGTCCATATGACGACCAGCTAGCAATGAGCGCATGTGACTCATAAGCTGTGAAGGAGTTTGATCTCCCAGTTCTACCTGTGTGAACAACTCCCGTAGCATCCGATTGGCCCACTTGGCCATTCCCTGGATGACAGCATTTTTTAACTGGGTGTACGGGTAGTTTGCAGGAATATGGTCGAGGAGGTCGCTAACATCGACCGAAACGTCGAAGGGAGACTTTGCACCACATAGGAGTGGCGGGTGCGTTCGCTAGTAATGCGGCTCGTTGAGAAAACCGCTTCAATTTGACGAAACCAAACCCGGGGGTTGCTCGGAGTAAAAGCGTGTAGTTTGAAGGAGAGGGTATTGACGTCGAGAGAGTCTGTTTGAGGTTTGTTATCGGTCATAGTAAAAAATAGGTTGCGTAGATATATAAAAACAGGGTCACCGCTTTTTGTGTAAACGGCAATTAAACTACAAACAGTAATAAACATCTAACTCTAAGTGGGGGGTGCTGCGTTTCTTATAAGAAAATTAACGATAGCAAAATGAGTAGAAGAAAAACGACAAAAGGTAAATAAGTGTACAGACTCACGATAAATAAAGCCTTCTCCACAAGCGTTGGCCGTAGAGAGAATGTGCTGGGTAAAATCCGAGACGAAGTCAGTGAATGAGGCTTGTCGCTCAGATGAAATTACGTCCAGTTAAATATGGCCAAAAGATATAAGAGTTTCCTGTCAATTGACTAAAAACGATTGACGCTAGTGAGTGCAATCGACGAAACAATGACACCAAGCAGCAGACGGACACAAAAGTCACGCTTTTTCACAAGTCGAAACCAAGTGTGTGTATTTTAGTTAATTTAAACAAAAGTACAGAAATGTTGAGGTGTACAAGAAAGTTTAGAGTGAAAAATCAAAAATGTGAATAAACCTTCATATGAATCCAAATATTCGAGTGGCTTTCGGTGATATTTGTCGGACGTGGGGAGATAAATCACGGGTAAGTGTATAGCTGAGACATAAATCATTTACCGATAGGGCATCCGTTATTTCATTATCCTCGAAAATTATATGGGGAATTATTTGAGGGCCAAAGATCAGGATATGACATTTTTCCGGGGAAAAAGGCATCTGCCATTGACTATTTGATGCATTTGCCTGCCCCTAAACTAGCTGCAGCAGTAGTAGCCCCATTTGTCGTTTCGTATCCTCCGGATAGTCCCGCTGAGACACATGAAAATCCGTCTACGTCAGCTAGACCGATAACTTCTCTTGTCCAACTACATAGGTGCTATAAGGTATACAGTTAATTCAACCGTGGCTTTGCGTCAGAACGTGAGAATCCAAAACTGAATCAGACTCCGACCCAAAAGAAAGGTAGTACAGTTCCATTTAGGGGTACGACGCCTTCTCTTAGATCTAACAAGTCTGTTCAGCCCAGCACGTCTACAAAACCCGCAGCTCCAATTATATCCCCGAATAATTCTCTGTCCTGCGTACCAGTTACTTATCAAAGTCCTACTATATATCCAGCAAATAATTCATACATGAATTGCCCTAAGTCATTTATGCCGCGACCTAGTTCAGGCTTCCCACCACTTAAGGCCAATTGCTCTCAGGTACGTCAACCTACCTCCTCTGACATCCAACCTAGACCTGGTTTCCCACCCTTTTACTCTTATAGCGGCCTGCTACCCTCACCCACTAGCCCCTACTTTCCTTCTAAGCTCCCTCCTCCTCCCCTTCCTCCACTATTTAACTACCAACAAGTCTATCCATGTTCTAACTCCCCTAGCATTCCAATGCTTGAAAACTATATTCCCACATCCTTTTGGTCTCATACTCAGCCTTCTCTTGTTGACTCCCAGTACGTCAATAACTCTAGACTAACTGGCACTTATTCTCCAAGTGTCATTAATTCGCAGCTTACATATTCACCTCCAAATCTTATTTGAAATACCGTCGAAAATAGCATTGCCGTTCGAAACACATTAGATATTATATTATTGAATGCGAGGTCAGTTATAAACAAGATGGCCCAAATCAGAGCCATTGCTCTGGAAATGACGCCTGATATTATATGTGTAACAGAATCTTGGACACATTCTCTAATTCCTGACTCTGCCCTTCTCATAGATGAATTCGATTTTTTCCGTCAAGACCGCACGACTAGGCGTGGGAATGGTTGTGTTCTTTATCATAAATCCTACCTAAAGCACTCTCCTTATTACTTGGATGTTTCCTCCTTCACGGGAAACTTCTGCCTCGCATCCGTTATTCTCTCGCCGCAAAGAAAGGCAATTATTGACTTTATCTACAATCTCCCAAATTCTTTAGCCAGTGATAACTCACAACTCTGTCAAATCTTTAAACTTGGCTAAATAGACTGGGTTTCCAATAGCTGTCCACCTGGATTCCAGTCCTTTCAAGTTATTGTCAATTTTTCTAACTGTTCCCAATTTGTGCGCTCCACAACAAGAGAAAATCACATTTCAGATGAAATCTTTACATATGACATTGCTCCTCACTTTTTGCTCTTTGAAAATGACCATGTGTTAACTCATTGTTACTTACCGCTTGCCTTTTCAAAAAGACCAACGTCCTTCGGACTTATTTAAACTACGACTGCGTAGATAACGACTTAATAAATAACTATATGAGATCTTTGGATTGATGTGGCTTCCTCTCCTGTAGCAATGCTCCCATCCTTCGTGACGTCATGTCAAATGTTTCCAAGGACATTCTAGAGTTAGTGCCGCGTAGATATCTCAAGCCTAATTCTTCAGATTCCCTTGTTCCTCATTTTATTCACATCAGACTGAAAAGTTGGGACGGCATCTGCGTAACCCATCCACTAGTTCCTTATCAGTTCATCTTAGAATCACAGAGATTTTTGAGAGGGCCTCAAGTATGCGCCAAGCTCGAGACAGGCAAAGAGAATCAATTGCTCTCAGTGGTTCGAACCCTGGCATATCCGTCGCTAACATCTTCCGTCATCGGTCCTCCTCTAAGCGTGGTCACGAACTTCCACCCATGCTAAATGATAACAAAGTCTTCCTCATTGATGACACTGACAAGGCGCAGTTGTTTAGTGCTTTCTTTGCAAAACAACTTGCTACCGAGTCCGATCCGGTCCGTTTCTTTCAATCCCTTTCAGATAAGACACTTAGTACAATTGATGTCTCCTCAGATCTCCTTAAGAAACACATAAGCCGTTTGAAATACTCGTACTGCTCAGGAACGGACGGGATTCCGAATTAGATTATTAAAAAAGCGTCGGACCTTCCCATATTGCTCAGTCATTTATTCTCGGTTTATATTTCAAAAGGATTCTTTCCTGAAACATGGAAAACGTCAATTATCATTCCCGTTTTCAAGTCAGGATCTCGGTCCGATGTTAATAACTATCGGGCGTGCACAAAACGCCGTCTCTAGCGAAACTACTTGAAAGGATTATTCTCAATGAAATTCTTGACTTCTGTCTAGCTAATCGGCTTCTGAGCTCTAGTCACCATGGATTTTTACCTGGACGATCCTGCGAAACACGTCACTTGGCATTTCTTTATTTAATCAATTCTCTTCGTAATGAGCGGCAGTCTGTGGTAGTTATTTACTTTGATCTTAGCAAAGCCTTTGACAAGTTGCCCCATAGACGTCTTTTAGTAAAATTGGAAGCGTTCGGCATCCGGCCGCCTCTACTCGACTTCATCAGGTCCTATCTGTCCAACCGATATCAGAAAGTCATGGTCGGTAATAGCTACTCGACACCTCACTCGATCACAGGTGGCGTACTTCAAGGTACGGTTCGGGGTCTGCTACCCTTCCTTCTTTACATCAATGATATTTCGACTGAACTCGGAAATTCGCAAACCTTTACTTATGCCGATGACCTCAATTGTGTTTACTCATACTCTAAGGACACCGCAAATGTTAGTGTTGAAAAAATGAATGCCAATTTACTACGCTTAAGCAGATGGGGTTCGACATGGCAGATGGAGTTTTCATCATCCAAGTGTAGTTTCATGTCTTTTGGTCCTACCAAACTTCCTGGTCCAATAATTTTTCAGAATAAACCACTCTCAGAATGCCTCACCATAAAGGACCTAGGTCTAAGTTATACAAATAAGCTTGCTTTATCAACTCATGCAGATAGAATCTCTGCCAAAGCCGCGCAGATATGTGGATTCATATCGCATAATTTTTTCCTTCCGGAAATTAAGGTGAGACTTTATTAAATGTTTCTTCCTCCAGTCCTCAAATACTGCTGTCTCCTGTTTGGTTTACTGAACACCTGTGACCGTAATAAAATCGAAAATGTTCAGGCGGTTTTCACCCCGAAACTGTTCTCTCAAGTCGCACCCGGTACTTCTTATACTCAGAGATGTTAGCTGGCGGACACTATGTTTTTACGGATTAGTAAATTCGAAGATGGACTTTGCTTCCTTTTTTGCATCAACTATAGCCCCAATCGTCCGCTCATTTACGCTCTCACTCCGAGAGATAGGTCTTATGTTACGCGCAACTCCTTCATGGTAATTCCGCCGCCGCCTCTTTGCACTACATCTAAGCGCTCCCTATTCTTTGCTTGCAAATATGCCTTCCTTTCGAATAATCTTCCGCCTGAAATTAGGTCATGGCCTAAGTTACTGGTATTCAAGTCGAAATTACGCAAACACCTTGCACCCGAAAGCATAACGGCACTGTTGACGATGTCAATCTCGAACACTCAGCTTCTTGACTTCGAGAAGGGCCCTCTTGGGATTTAGTGGTTGATAAAGTGGAAACCCTCAAGTATATCATAAGAAACCCTGTTTAGAATTGGTTTCTAAATCCACTGCTCTCACTCCTCCCCCATAGCGACTATTTTCGCGGTTCTTGATGTCATCTCCCGCATTTCGACCTCATGCGGTCTGTCGATGCTCACGGCGGAACCCTCAGTATTCGCCGTCTACTAGTGGTTTGGCCGTACCTCCCTTCCCCACTCCTCAGCTGGGCACGAAGCGTACTGTGGCAGATCGCGTCTGGGTTCCTCTCGTCTGGCCTCTTTGACGCGAATAGTCATCCGGCGTATCAATTCTGCCCTGACGATATCAGTTCTGAATCCCGTAGACAATACCACATGCAGACCAGCCGTGTCCGAACCGCATACCTATCCCTTAAGGCTGACATTTATTTCTGCCCTGACGATGTCGATTATAATCCGTTATATAGCGCCACATGCAGGCCAGTCCTGCTCGAACTTTTTTGTTATTATTAGCGAGGGTTTTTCCTCCTGTAAAATTAATCCGATCCCTATTAAATTTTTGTATGGGTTTTTTTCACAGCTCGCTCAACATTTTCCTTAATGGAGTAAAAAGCAGAAACAATGAATTGCATTTTGTAAAGATTCTGCCTACCTCGTCTAAAATTCTGATGTAAATTTTTTTTCTTGCTTTGATGGGACCCCGGCGGATCTTAAATAAAAGTATTTGATTTATTTATTTACGCACATATGCCCCTTGAACAGTAAATGTACATAACCTGGAAATGCATTTATTTATTAGATGGCAGCCTAATTCACTGGCATCCCACAGGTGCGAATATCCCGTCTGCTCTTTTATCGCATTTCTAATAATTGACTCACCAAGCATTAAATACATTTAAGCAACAATTACTAATATACCTTATGATAAATCTCCACACATTGGTTTTCCGTTAGGCTATGCGAGACCATACTAACTCTGTGTATATCTATGTAATATTGTATGAATCTGTCGACCATTCTGTCTATCATATCATATTATCAGAGAAACCATGATACCTGCTATAATATTTTTCGATAACTTTGATTGTAACTTACCTCCAAAAGTTTATTGCATTTGATCCATATTCATCTTCTTAAGCTGTTGTCCACGCAACCATAATAAGCCATCCATGAGACTTAAATGAACGATACGATCGCATCCGGGAAACTGTCCAAATAGTGACGATCGGCAACTAACGGACCTCCTGTAACGCCCACGTACTGCATATAGCTGCTTGATTGAGGAAAGTCTTCCAGCGCGGATTTGGGTCGGTGATGTACCTGCGAAACAGTAAAAATAACCGGTGTCTTTCGCTTCTCTATCGTCTATGCCCTCCCCGCAACTCATTGCAACACTCTCTTCCTCTACATCGGCACCTCCCACGACCCTTCACTGTATTTGCTCACAGCGCTGCGTTCCCACTAGTTGTTTAATAGGCACGTCAATGTCCCCTCGCCATTCAGACAGGTCAGTTCTCTGTTGTAACCCATCCTTTTCTATCCTATTGAATATTAACATATGCACTCCAAATCCGTTCGTTCCTGATATATACATTTGTACTGGCTAAATCCTTCTTATATCCTGTCGTATGGATGGATGCTATTATGAGCCTAAAAACTCTATTCAGCTTCTGCAATTCCAGGAATCACTCCCAGTGCTTCACGTAATCACGTGTGCGGCGCCCTTAACGTCTTGGATCGCTAAAATCCAAATTAACTAATTGGAAATAAATCGTGGCCAAAATCAGTGTTCTCTAAGTTCCACGTGAGGCACAATATTCGCGACCATAAAAAAAACTCCTGATTTTTCCAACTTTGTCTGGTATTATTCACCGGAATTCGGGTTTATTTTAACTTAAAAGAAACTTTCAACACACCCTTTATTTAGAAAACGAACATCCAAAACAAGTGAGGTAAAATTGCAATCGATTTGGATGAATTCATTTTACGTTCTCCTTGAGTTCTAAGTAGACGGATGACGCCCAAGAGGATCTGTAATAAACCTAGTCGATTATATTTTATTACAAATTCCTGCGGTGTCTCTATCGGTTAAGATTCGTTTTCTTGAAAAGGCGAAAAGCGTTTGGTTTCACGGTCTCTTTCTGTTCCAAATGCATCCTCGTCACTTCTCAACACAGAATTCTTCTCTACAATTCAACCTCCCGTCCTCCATTTCTTTTACACACTTGTGCAGTTATGGTGCGCCTTATATATCCTAGCTTTAGGCTTTGCGGTTCTCAGCATTTCTTAAGGTTCTTGCATAACTGCCTTTGGTTGCTGCGGCATGTTCGTCATCAAGCCGCCCTGTTTTCTCCAGAATTTCTTCTGCCTGCTCCAGTACGTAGAATGGCACACCTGGGTAGATTCCAATAGAAAAATGGCCCAATATTCAGTTAATTTTAACAGTCGAATAAATTCTATGCATTCGATTCAGCTAAATGACCAATCATAACACTTGTGCGAATCCTGTTAAATAACACCAAAACCCCTACGCAACCTCGGCTCTTTTGGCATGTTTAGTGCTTTGGCTGTACTAACACAACTTTGACCTTCACTCGTTGGTTAGTGAGCGCGCTGTACGCACATTTTGCAGAACCTCTAGTTTGTCGTGTGTTGGCGTCAGGTCTATCATGCTCGCGGTAACAAAGTTTAGCCGGGTTCCAAACTTCGTTCCAATTTGTCGGACACTCTTGACTCTAAGGTCCCACAACAGCGGCCTGAATTTAAATGAACCTCTTGCTCCAGTCCCCGGCAAAAGCCCGGTCTGGTCTCAAGATCAAAATGAAATCTTTGCCGAGCTTTCCGATGGTAAATTTTCGCTTAATAGCTTATACTTTTAGGCGCAAAGGTTTTCGTTCAGGGCGCCTGCTCATCGCCCACCACACTAATTTCTCTTCTCTATCAACATGTCATGGAGAAAGGAATAAAAAAAGTTACTGTCAATCACATGCTCCCGCTCGGTCCTCTGCCGTACCTCAATGAAGAAGCTAAGGATTCATTCCGTCTTAATACAGCTTATTCTAGTATTGATTCTTTTTATTAAATGGCCTTTAGGTAATTTATGTCGTGATGCTATCAACAGTGGACGGGCAGATTTTACTCCGATATCCATTTCAGAGATGCCTCTTTTATACCGGACGAATCAAGTATCCATGGACTATGCTCTTATTACGGTTACGCCCCCCGATAAGCACGGCTTTTGCTCTTTGGGGGCTGCGGTTGGCACTGCGCGCTCCGCCATTCAAAACGCCAAGAAGATCATAGGTAAGAGTTTCGGTTGTTTTACGCTTGTTTTGTTAGGCCAGGTAAACCCGATGGCACCAATCAGTTATGGTGATGGCGTTATTCACTGCAGCAAGATTGATTTCTTTGTACATGGACCCCAAGCCCTCCAGGAGATTCCGCCTCCGACAGCGACTCAAACCGAACAAAAAATCGCCAAGATAATCGCTGAAAATCTTGTGGAGGACGGTGCAACAATACAGCTGGGTTAGTGCATATATTGTTTTATTTCTGCCCTTTCGGATCTGAGACCCCCTGGTTAACTTGCACTCTAATTGGTGATCTTGAGTCACAACTTTTGATTTTCAGTTTTGATCGGTGCGCATGACTCTTTCTGACTTATTTTTGAGGACCTGACCCATAATAAGAACACTTTCGATGGAAGAAAATGTGGAATGTTGCTAGTCGTTGTATCTGTCGATTTATTGGGCTTAGGCTTTCTTACTATTTGAGCCAGGTTATCATGCATGTTTGACTTGTACGCCCTTGGTTTATCAGCAGCCGTTTACTCAACCCAGGGATTTGCGTACCGGGGAAATAAAAAACGAAGAGTGCTGCCAATTTTGGGAATGACGGTGTTTGTGTTGCCACCAAAAACCAACTCGCCAAGTCCATTTGTACCCGCTAAAAATTCAAATTGGTGCAAAAAATCCCTGCGACTGAATGTCATCCCGCAATTATTGCTAAATAATTGGAAGTTCTTCTTCAAAGATCTGTTTGTGTGAACATTCTGCCTTATGTAGCCTCTAGAACTTCGATCCATCGCTCTGTAATGGCGGCATTTTATGGGGGCAAAGCCGGTAAATGCGAAAATCAAAAATTGTGGCCTGACCGTTGGATGTACTTGGACCCCAAGAATCTGTAATCCTTGTGCTCATTTGGCCGGCAGAACTAATACATCTGGCAACAGTTAGTCAAAGTCGAAATATCATCCAAAAAATTACTTGTAAAGTAGTTTACGGACAGCTCGGCGCCGTGAGGCTCTGTTAAGTTTGACCAAAATTAGACCATTGCTGCCCATTCTACCGAGGCGTTTTCCTACTAAAGGACACGAAATTACTTATCGCTAACTTTGAGGTTACAACGGTAATCAATTAATCGTTCTAAAATCACCCCTGTTGTCTTAGAAGTTTATGCACCTATGACAGTTGTGCAAGCTTTGCTATTGCGTGCAAGTCAGCTTAATCTTCATTCTACCCGTTTTTTTACAAAACCGTGTTTGTGCCTATGCTTACATGATATTCCTTGATTTTATATTCCATTTACGACACTTTGTGTTACATTGTATTACGATGTCAAATAACGACAACAACACAACTCTTCAACTCCACATATCTAACAAACTAGCAGCACTTTTGGGACCATACTGTTATGCATATTTAGCACATTTGCGTGACCTGTGTATGGTCTATTTTGCTTTTAAGTTTATAAAATCTCAATCGTGTCAGTGGAGGACGCAGGTCTGATATGCATAGGTTGCTTGATAATTAACATTAATAAGTAATTCATGGATATTTTGGCAGACCCAAGTGTGATAAAACTCGCGTCGTCCGGCGGGGCCTCGTAGCTCAGGTGGTTAGAGCGTTGGCTGTACTAAAGCCTTCCCCCTTACTGCGTGAGTTCGAATCCCACCGGGGCGCCGAGTTTTTCACAGTTGGGTCAATATGAATTAATAAGTAACTCATAACCAACTGCTTTGGGTCAAATTTCCGAACGCCCGACCTGGGCGGTAGCGGTAAATACGTCAAAAATGGTCATTCCGGTCTCACAGTTTTCAACTGCCTGATATTTTCTAACGTAGGATTTGGCCGCATACCCTTCGAAGTGACCACCCAACTTCGTGGCCACCGTGACCTAGGCGTTCACGCTGAAATGTTCTCCGATGGAGTTGTTGATCTGGTGAACCTCGGCGTTGTAAATAACAGAAATAAGACAGTTCGACGTGGACGCATTGTTGCCAGCTACACCATTGGCACTAAGAAGGTTTTCAATTTTATTAACGAAAATCCTCTCGTTGGTAAGTCTTTTACTGTTTTTCTCACCTTATATAGGGAAACAAACTATAATCGATATGACTTCCTTCTATTCCATTAAGCAGTATAGAATGCGGTAACACATGGAGTTTGTATTATTGTTACCTGATGTAGTCTTTTTATTAGTTTTTTTCTTAAATCGCTCATTGGCATTCCACTAATTTTCTGCCTTTTGCTATCATTAAATTTTCTCAGAACGTTTACCGATCTAGTCACCTGTACTTACTCGAGACTATGAGCATTCCTTTGAGCGACTCAGGAAATCCTTAAAGTTTCTTTACTTTTTGAAGTAACCCTATCAGCTTCGGTTTGCTGGAACCCTATTGCATGTTGAATGGTCGTTTTATCTTATTCTGTGGATCTCATTGGCATAACACTTCCATTACACTGCGTTTATCGTGCCATCGTTTCTTTGAACACTAAAATTGACCATGCTGATTCCTGATTACACAGACAGAATCGTGGATATTCATGTCTATTCGGGAAAATATGACAATGACCAGATCGCCAATCGGGCCCGGCTTAGGGGTGGACCTTAACCCGCAGAGTGACCGTGGTGGTGGAGGCCTTATTTGTAGAGCAAAATTTAGTAACTAATATCGTTTTCGCTTATGACCTTGTTTCTCCTACTTCCTACTGATGCTTGTTCTACCACAATTGACTGACTGGGACAAATAACTGTCCTTTGAGGTGAGAGTTGTTCGGGAACAGACTTGGTTTTCCTGGTTTTCACTGTAATTCTCCTATGGCTATTAACTTGCGCAACAGATCGTATTGATTGGTGTTCCACGTTTTGTGTCAGTCTCCGCATCTTTCATTTCCTAACGACACAGTCCTTGTTATTATGCAACGTACTTTTTCTTCCCGCAGAACATTGGTACACATCACCTTTATTGGTGTTTAGCTTCCCAAGTTTAAAGGCTATGTCTTTTAAGTTCAGAATCCCTTGGTAACTTATTTGTTTAATGCCAATTTTACTTTACTTGATCTTCTTCCGATGTATCTTCTCAGCACTCTACGATATCGGGTGGGTGAACTCCCTCGAGGTTATCGCTCGAAACCCGAAGGTGACATCTGTCAATACTGCCTTCGAGATAGACCTGACGGGACAATGCGCTGGTGACAGTCTCGGCGACCATATTTACTCCGGTAAATTGATCCTATGAATTTTTTACTTGTTATTTGTGATACATATTACACTTTGCATAAGTGAGCAAAGCGTAAAGCCCAAAGGATCGAGGAATCAGGGTATCTTTGTCCATAGTCTGAAATTTCCGATGGTTTAACCATCACGCGCAAAACAGTAGGGACATTTCGTTGATTTTGCTTGAGTGGAGGTTCTTGATCGAGACAAGGGACGAACCAAGCGGGTCAGATTCCCGAACATGGAGTCAAACAGTTAGCATGTCGATCCCATTCAACTAACTGGATTCCAAGTCTCTACCGGTCCCAAAGAAGCCGAACTCAGAGTTCATGGATGCCACCAGTCGGCAGCAGCACTTTACGGCTGGTTTACTTGGCACAACCGCCTTCATAGGTGACCTCAGAAGATCGCAGGACAATGAGACTGACCATCTTCTACTATCCCGACAACAGTTGACTTTCCGCATATTTCTAGTCTCTGAAAATAAACCCCATATCCAACTGCCTGAAACAGCAGACCGGGAGCAAACGTCTTCGGGCAGGTTCTCATGATTTCATGCACTGTACTTGTGACGTACATTGTAATATCTGAAATTGAAAATGACTTGCAGCGACACGAATTACCGCGTCTTGCTTTTTCTCGGTCCATTGTTTTGCCTTTGTTGAACGGGTACCTGGAGAGATTTCTCGCGTCTCTTCAGTACAATTTAATGCTGATTCTCTATCTGAATGAGTTCTTGAGAAGGAAAAATTAAAGTGGAGTACTACGTTTATTCCTCGGATTTCCAGATGACCCACAGAGTAGTCGATGTTCACATAGCCTAGGTTGATACTCTCTATCGCTGGAGTCAGCGGACAGGGCGCCCGGTGATGCGGACTTGAGCATACCACTTTCGTACCCCTTAGGAGTTACAGGTGTATATGCGGTCGCTAGCTTTGATTAACCGCGTCAGAAAGAAATGCCGCACAAGTAGCCTTGGATACTTTGACCTATTCTACATACAGATATGGGCGGGTTATTCTAGTCGGACAGGGAGTCTTTGTCTCGTTCTGTTGACTAAACCACATACTGCCTAGGCCTGAGCAGTCAGGTTTATCGAGCTCTGTGTTCCCAGGCCGATGCAGAATGTAGAGGACAGACATACAGACGGATGTGTGAATCGAGCACAGTTTTGCCATGCCAGGGGAAAGTGTTCGAAAAAGTTGACTGTTTAACTCTTGAGGCATCGTAGGCCACAATGTCACACTGACTCAGGCTGTTACTCATTGCGGTTCATGAGAGACATACACTTTCGTAGAGAGAATGGAAATATACAATGGAAGGAGCCACGAAGAAGTAAAAAAAAGACTGCATATCAGGTATGGCACTGATTTTAGTTACCAGTGACGAATTCATAACAAGCCTAGCTGGGCATTCAACTTCTTTGTCGGGCGTAGTAAAGATTTAATTCGTACTGCATCACTAATGAGCCACCAGCGTTCCTTTGTCAACTTCCACCGCGGGTAAACAGCGCATCCGTAAAGTCTTGTGTCAATAGCTAAGAACATGAAAGACTGTTGACAAAAGTCATCTTATGTCGACCTCTGCCAAGCGTGCGACCAAACTTTTCTGGTGGGTCGCGCTTCTGATCTGTGAAGCAGTACTTAACTTCCACATGTTTTATCCTGACTCCCACTACCAAGAGGCGTCAGCCGGTCCTGCATTAGTCGTTGACTACAGTAGTCTTCTTATCCTTGAAGACCGGTGGATGCAACAATGCCCTTTTTGATCTATGAGCCTTGACTCTAGCTAGGAATTTTAGACCTACGCATCAATCGTCTTGCCCGGAACTCACCGTGTTGCTCACGTTCTCATTATTGTAGTTTTAAATTGCCGTTGAAATCAAACTAACTGTTCTTGGTGTTTAGAAATGCAGCAGTCGGAACTTTTACCCTGAGTGTCAAACCGGTAATGCGTGCTTTTTTATTTGATCTGCAGGAGTTGGTGGTCAGATTGACTTCGTGCGTGGGGCCTCCCTCTCCATTGATGGACGTGGTCGTCCAATCATCACAATGTGCTCCAAAAACTCTGCTGGCCAGTCTTCTATCGTTCCCTTCCTGACGAATGGCAGCGGCGTTGTTGCCACACGTGCTCATGTTCACTACGTGGTCACCGAGTACGGCATTGCCTATCTGTTTGGCAAGAACCTTCGTCAGAGAGCACATGCTCTCATCAATATTGCTCACCCCGACTTCAGGTAAATCTATCTCCTACTTGTAGTTTACTAACCTGATTAAGAATTGTTTTCTGGGCTCGCCTCCGACCCGAAAGCCTCCACGAACTGCTTGGTTTCCGGATGCGATGACTTCTTCTCAGAGTGGCCTTAACGTCAGCTCTGGCCAAGTTGAGGTCTAGATTTTTCTGACGATTGGTTTGTAGTGGTGTTGGGACCAGCGTGTGTGCGGTGCACCTCTCCAAACACCGCATGCACCTTCGTCTACTGAGTCTTGTCCTGACATCAGGACACTATGGGCATGGAAAATGGGTGAGGTAGTTCTCACCTTCACGTATATGTCATCATTGCTCTGTCAGGCCAGTGATAGCAATGGACGATCTATTAAAACATTGCGCATACCGGCAGTTACACAGTCAGTTTAACTTTATAAGAAACACAACTCCGCAGAATATAGCGAAAGTTCGACGAAACATTCCATAAGAGTGTACCTGATATCCTCTGGCGCTTTGTCCGCTTTCTTATGACCTGTGCGTCGGAACCTGGTAGACTTTTGATTTCATACCTCTTGGCGTGCTCGATGAATGTTTGTCTCACTTTCATCTATTTTTGGCTAGTTCTGGTTGTTCGTTGGAGCAGGTAGATGAATCAATAGACGAACTAAGTCGTTATTTTTAGACTCACTTCAAGCCACGTGTTCTATTAGCCTGCTGGCCTGTGGACCATTGTAACGTTCTCAATTATGCTCTGTTGCGACTGCACCGATTAGAACGAATGCTGGTTGGAGTGGCCTGTCCCCGAGGGAGACTTTGTGCATAATTCGCCGCATTTCATGGGGTGCCTTATTTTGAGAAAGCGTCTTTGGGCCACTGGTAATCGTCGCTCCTGTTATCACTCGTGAGCGTCTCATTGACTCCTGACGACTCAGTTTTAGTAAAGATAGTTTACGTAGACTGGCGAGGACGTGGTGTTGCAAAGCACTTTCTCGTTTTCATACTGATCGTGTTATTGGTCTTGATTAGGCGGACCGTACCGCGGCCATAAGTAAGGAGGACCTCAACTTCCAGCACCAACTGTGATCTCTTCGCATTCGTACCTTCTGAAATTTCACAGCACGGTGGATATTTGCATGATAGTTAGGACTTACCAAACCTTTCTGTATATACCATGTCTCTCCTCGATCGCTCGAAATACTACGTCAGCCTCATGGCTGGTAATGGTAATGGCCTTAGTGAGTGACAGGTTTCGGCTGAAGTTCCTTTACATTTTTCTGGTGTTCCTCCACTTACTACTCGCCCACTCCTTCGACTTCGAATTACGATTTTATAGATGACCTCTTAACGCCCCCCCCCTCCCCTACATAAAACGAAGATGCCGCATTTAAGTCACGGATTTCGGTAGAACGTTTCAAAGTACTGACTGAAAAAGTGATCTTCTGGATCTCTTCATGGTTGTGTGTAGGTTCAGTCTTCCCATTTGAAGTTAAGCCTATCACCGTTACGTATTCGTGCTCCACATCGTTTTCGTTGAAAAGCGGTACTCCCACCCTTCCCTCTGCACCAGGCCTCTAGCTTCTGAGAGTTTTATCTTTCTGCACGTTGCGTGAGGAATTAATTGATTTGTTTCGTGAAGTACCAATAGCCTTAAACTCTTTTATTGTCTCCTTTTCTGTGTCTCAGGGAGTCGTTGGAGAAGGCTGCATTCGAACGTCTCAAGACTATGCCATCACCATGAATTTCCAAGCGCCGCCGCCCAAACATATCGCTCTCCCTTCTGCAGTAGATGTCCATACACACACGTCCACACCTTGCCCTTTCCGCTCCATGATTATGTCCAAGCGCCATTTCACTTTCGAGGCACAGCATACCGTGTTTTGAATTATAGTTTTTTAAAGAGCTTTCCAGATGATTCTCGACCTCTTTTGAAGCAGTCACCTCTGACGGGTGTCACTTTGCGGTTGAGTGGGTTTGTTGCAAATTAGGTTGGATCTGGAAGTTTGGTTTGTGGAACCTGTGCCACGTAAATACGGACTTTTCGGATCCTCGACTTGTCGCATCTGGTGTTGCTGACAGATTCCTAATTTCACGTTCTGGAACCACCGCAGGCTTCTACTGCCGGCTTTGCCAGTTTAACCGAATTTCTATACACTCAAGCATTCGCACGTATCGGCGGAGGCCTAGTCATTTGTGGCGTGAGTATTTATGGCTGGCGTTCTGTAGCCGCCTTTTGTACATGAATCGCTGGTTAATTGGCATCTGTACTTGTCTCACATGAAGCCGTCCAGTAGTGGTTATTCCCCTGTGGCCGATGGGCGTCATCTCAAATATTGATATAAACTCTCTGACCGAGACTGAAAAGGTTTGTCCCAAAGGGTTTACTCGAAGTTAGGGCAATATTTTCTGAGGGAATTTAAAAGTTGAAACCTCAAAGCTGGAAAATATACCGAAAGGCGCGCTGGGAACGTTGGAGGACGCAATGATGGGCCGTACGTTTTGCAGCTGGGTCTTTAGCCGGTACCCATTCAACATTTACGTCCAACATTCTGTGCTGAGGCGCAACTTGGAGCGATGATTAGGTTCATATCACATGTCTTTCCCACCTTATATCAGCATAGGTTATTTGCGGAAGAAATATGAAAGGCGGCCCTTCAATGTCCCTAAAGGGCTTAACCGATGTAGAGCATTCTTGGGGGGTGCCTACGATCCACCTGGCTGACTGCGAGTGAACTTACTTGGGAGAATTTGTAATCTTAGACTGAAGGAGCGTAAGGTGAACCTTAGCTGTACTACAGGAGAAATTCATGGCTGACTTGTCATGTTTGCGTGTATCCAGTGGTGTATTTTTTGAAGTTTTACGCTGTTGAACTGACAAACCTTCAAGGCCCCGAAATGTAGGCGGATAGTCTGTATACGTCTGTTTCTGAAACGCAAGCCCATCCGATTGTGTCTTCTCTAATACTTTTACTCCGTTCATAAACCTCACGTTTGTGGTTTGAATTAAGGAGTAGGACCGTTTGAGCACTCTGCATTGCCATGCTGTGTGCCGATCGTCGACACTGATGACAGGCTGTTTCAAGCTCGTTACTGTCGAGCGGAGTGCACGCTGAGTTAGACAGTTCAAAAAGCGAAACGTTTGGCGTGCGGCACAGATAAGCCGCCGACGCCCCAATTTGGCACCGGCTACTTTGCCTGCGAGTTGCCGCAGTCACGCCCTCTATATCAGAGCTATACGACACTACTCTGACTGGATGGTAGTCTGAACGACTGTCTTACTGGGGTTCCGAAACTAAGCTAAGTACGTAAAGCGAATTTACCGACTTGGTTTGGGCCGTACTCTCCTTGGTTGCGCTATATGCTAACGCAGACTTGGAAACGGAGGGATCTCACGGCGGTAGGCTGGTTGAACGTTGGTTGTTCATTGGTACCACTTGGCGGAAAAGAGATGGGGCCGACTGTCGAGGACAGCCAGGCCTGCCGCTGGTCTAGGCACGCCTTTGTCTTAGATAGAGCTCTCATTTTCGTTGCCAGCCAATCCAAGTAGTGCCGACGGTCCTTTGTAACTGTACACTCGAATGGGTAATGTGCCTACTGACGAAGGCTACATAGAAAATGCCATGTGCAGGGGTTAACGAAAAACACTACTTTGCCTGGAATGGGCCCAAATGCATCAACCAAAATTAATTAACAATGAACGTACTCCGAGTAGGCAAAGACGTAAGAGAAGTACTAGAGGTAATTGTGTGTTGCTTGCATATAGCCATTTTAGCAAGAAAATTGAAAACACCGAGCGCACGAAAATGCACATCAGAAGCGTATTTAGGTGTTCGGTTGTAAATATTGACTATCCGCATTGAACACTAATGAAATATAATAGCATGGACCAAATAACGCTCAAAAAACGTTTGCGGTTTCTAAAACTTTCCAATTCAGGTGCTTTTTGGAACTCGAGTTCAACTCGTGATTATTTAATCTGATGATACCAAACGCGTTTTATGAAGAATTGAATGGTTAAAGATGGAATTCCCACACTAGATTTTACGAGCACTGGAGTTACGTAAGCAGCACACGCTCCCGGGAGATATGGGCACAACTTTACAGCAAAGGTAGGAAAGGGCGAGTGAGATGGTGCATCAGTGAAATTCTGTATGACAGAAACAGATTAGCAGTTGCTGTTTTGAGATGGACGCAGAAAACCACCTAGCCTAAGGCTGCGAATGCTGACGTAGGCATGCCGGTTGATACTGCTTTTGTTAGATTAGCTGTCGGGACCGACTTACATGGTCTCCCAAACAGGACATGAGACCAGGAACCGCCTGTAATATGAGTGGTTTTGAGCCAACTTCCAGAGGACTTAGGGTTAAGTTAGGGACTAGGTTCAAGGCCAGATTTAGTGTTAACGGTAATGTCAGTCAAGATCAAGTTTAGGGTTAAGGTAGGATTAGTGTTAATTGCAGAGTTAAGGTTCAGGGTAGGGTTAGGGTCAAGATGAACGCAACGATTCAGTTTTATACTAGGGTTATTGTTGGGGTCGGGACAGGGGGACTATTTAGCTCTTTCCTTAATCATGCGCAGGTCCATCTTTATTACATAGGCAGAACGTACCTTTTCCCATGCACTGTTTGGAAGGCCATATAAATCAGTCCCGCCGATTAGCATGCCTCAACGAGTTCACTTACCTATTCTTCGTCGTCTATGACAACCCCAAAAAGTTGTGGTCATATTATGGGGTACGCGCGAAGACGAGGGTCGTGTCGGCGGTCAACCAGACTGTGTCCGCTAGTTAAAGTCTTAATGTTTCGACAGTTCTGGCCGACGTATGGAGGGGTGAAATTAGTGCATTGGATGCGGGAAGCAGCAATGGTTCGTTCCCCTTTGCAGTTAGAGACCTTCTCTCGAGATGATGCTGCGTTCAATGAGGACGCCGGTTTTTAGGCCATGCATATGCCGACACGAGTTGGTCGCCAGCAATCGCTTCAGAAGTTCCCTGCATGTAAGGCGGGAAATATGATATCAGCATTCACTCGTCGATAGAATATGTTGGAGCGCGATCTGGATCCCTGTCAGACAGTCGCACGTCGATCGGTAGATGGCTCTAACGTTGGATGTTTATTTCTGGCTCCTCAGACCTCGTCATTCAGTCAGAATCCAACCACGAGACCGCCGTACCAACGGCTTAATTAACCGGTGCGCGAGACGCTCGTTCCGTTTTTTTCTCTGAATGTAATCAAAAATTACTTTTTTCCGGTTATTTAAGCTCAAATGCGATCACTGAAGAAATGACGATTGACCGCCAGGTCAGAAGATGCCGGGTTAATTTGGACCCCCAAGAGAAATTGGGCGAATTCCTGACGAAACCTACAATAAGCCATCTGAAACTTCGATACGCGACGAATAACGACTTCCGGAAGTAGAGTAATTTAGAAAACTTCTCTTTTTATCCTCGTTAGGTTGGTCGCCAGGGTATCAGTGAGGCTTTCCAGGATCGAGAAGATATAAACATTTGTTATTGCTAGTCGAAAAGCATATCTTCTGACTTTCCGGGTTCCTTATTTGTCAATGGCCCATGTCCGCTGCAGATCCCTAAGTAGGTTACTTGCCGACATTGGGACCGATGTGTGAATAGATTTTTGTCTTTCGCGCATTGTACTGTCACTGATTTCCCCCACCTACCATCGACGCTCGATCCACTGGTACCCCTTATCCCTTAAGAGAAAATTCGTACGAGAGAAGCTCCTTAATACTTCCCCCAATCTAGAACGTACTTGCGCGGGCTTACCAGTGATATTATGCATATCGGCTAATCACAACTATCCAAAATGACCAGTCAACTTCAAGTCCAAACCAGACATGCCCTGACTCAAGGCGCTCTGAAACCTGTCCCGGTGCCACTCGAACGCCGAATCTGACCAACCTAAGCGCGTACCCTCGTCCGGCTATCAACTTGAAACAGCCTATTCTCTATTTATCCTGTACAGAATACAATGCTTTCTCTACTGGCATCCAACTTTCATTTCCATTCGATATCGCACCTGAAGGTCGAAGTGGCTAGGGTCGAGCTATGACTTCCGAGACAGACCTCTTAGATCGGCATTAACAATTTAGTTCGCGTTGGCAGAATGTTTGGAATGCAGGAAAACACGGTCAGTGAGTGTTTACTTATTACCTTCGAAATACGCGGCACGAGCGCTGCAAATATATTGGACGCTGCCTCGTTAATGAGAGGAGCAAAATCGTTGTTGTGGAATTTTTTGTTCGTGATAAGCTGGCAAGTTCAGAGAGGATTGCAGAGTTGGTCAAAGAAGACCCAAGGGACAGTATCCGCCATAAGAGACCTGATCTTTTGCGTGGGAGGTGTTTCCAAATTGCTCAAAGACAGTAAGCTTTCTATAGGAACTCGCTCATGGCAACAGAATACGATTTGGACGACTGTTAAAGTAAGTTACTGTAGATGAGCCGCGCTTGGATGACGGTCAACAGAGCGCAAGTTCGTATATGTCGATTCACATTTTTGACCGGTATGGCATTGTCAGTTATAGGTGATTCTTAAACAGCGTGATGTCTGACGAGACAAGTCATATTTTTACCAACTCAGTGGATAAAAGTATAAGAGAGTTCCCGATATCTCAACTCATCGACGGAGATGGCAACTAGAGAGAATATTTGGAAATGTGATAACCAAATACAAAATATGAGGCAAACTGATGAGATTGGCTAGCAAAAAGGTACGATCGTACA